GGGGCTACGCGGAGGAGTACCTTGATCTGGCCAAGTCGAACACGCCCGGCGCGACGGCTGCCGACGAGGAGGTTGCAGAACGTTTGAAGAAGAAGGCCGCCATCAACAGGCACCTCTCGCTCGGGGGAGGTGCGTCGGGCCACTCACACGGGGACGAATAGGTTGCGGCAGGGAGGTTAGCGGCGCCTCCTTGCCAAGCCGACGCCAAGGGCGCAAATCCGCGTAGCTCCCTCTTCCGTGGGGTCAGCGAAGGTCGGTCGACTACGAGTGGGAAGGACTTCGTTGGTAGGCGCTCGGGCTTGGTGTTATTCAGCATCCTCTCTCTGGCCCTGCGCGGGCACCTGTACTTCAGGGAGGGGACGTACAAGCAGCCGAGTATCTCGCATCGGGAACATGGTGTCCAGGTGTCCTCTACTTCATGGAGAGGGAGAGGATGGGCGTCAGCGGGGCCCTCTTCGCGGCCTTCCCTTCCCACCGTTTGGGGCGGTGGGGCCCCTGTGCACGAAGCTGTCCGAGGGCGAGTTGAGGGTGACGTGGAGGAGGCTTTCACGAGCTATCGCATCGATTCGGGGCTTGGCTTGTGGACATACCCGTGTGGTGGAAAAACTGCGTCTGCGACCTTGCAGGAGGACGTGGGCGTCGGCTACGCTACTGCAGAGGACGCTGGTCAACAGACTCTGGGAGCTGCTGGCGGAGCGCGCCAGCTGGGGAGGCATCAGCGATGGCAGGGCGGTTCTCAGCCGTCTTGGGAAGGGGCAATTGATGGGCTACGGCAGGTCGGAGAGGACGACGACGAAGACAGGCGTTATGAAGAAGGGGGACATGTGCGACCTGATCGCGGAGCAGGTCTCGGCGCCGAAGGTCGGGGCGAAGGGCCTCGACGTGGCGCGGCTTTCGCCAGCGGCAAGGCCCTGCCTGGAGAACGGGGAGGGGCTCATGCTGAGGGACGACGACGAGGTGGGCGGGGTGAAGTACCAGCAGGCGAAGAGCTACAGCGACCCTGGGTGGTGGATCAGGTCGGCTGTCTCTGACGCTCAGGAGGTTGGAGGCTGGTATGTTGAGTTTCGCCGACGAGGTGAAGGAGCACGCGGGGGTCTTTACGGTGGTGAAGTCCTTGGAGGAGGGGAGCAGGGCGGACATCAAGTCGTCCAGGCTGGTGTGGGGCTGTCGGCGTCTGAATCTGAGGATCAGGAGACCACCGCAGACGGGACTGGGATCACCGAGTGCTCTGAGCTCTATGGATCTGTCGCCCGAGGTGCTGGGACAAAGGGAATTGTTCTCCTTTGCGGTGGACATCCCAGACTGGTTCTACCGCTTGAGGTGGACGAGGTCGCTAGCTCAGTATTGTGTGCGGGAAGACGTGTCACCGAGCGAGCTGTGGGAATTCCAACTGATTCTGATGCTGTACATCGACGACTACATCGGGTTCAGGCTCCTCGATCCGCTCGAGGGCGACATCGAGGTGGACAAGGAGGTGGTGAAGAAGGTGCTGGTGGACAAGGGGCCCGAGGTGCACAAGGAAGAGTGGGGGCCTGGGCTGCAGCGAGGGCTCGGGATCACGGTGAGGGGGCGGCAGTACCAGGCGACGATCCATCCCGAGAAGCTGAGAGAACTGGTGCTGGCAACGGAGGCGTTGGTGGTCAAGCCCTACGTCTCTCCTGCGAGGCTCTCGTCTTTGCGGGGTATGTGGACCTGGGCCCTTATGATTCGCCGCTCGGGGTTTGCCATTCTCGACGCTATCTACATGTGGATCAACGAGCACGGCGGCTCCTGGGAGGAGGTTCTGCCCCTCACGGCGGAGGTGGTCTCGGAGCTGGTGGCGTTGGCCAGCCTCTCGGTGCATTTTACGTCGGACTTGGAAGCGGACTGGGCCACAAGGGCTTACATGACGGACGCCTCGGAGTTCGGCTACGGCGCGGTCGTGACCGACATCGCCGCGGCGGATGGCAGGATGGAGGTGGCGAAGGGCGACCTGCAGACCTGGACAGTCAGGGCCGACGAAGCCTTCACAGCGGTGGAGGAGGAGGTCGCGCGCGAGGGCGAGGAGGACGACGAGATGGCGGGGCCACCAGCGGGGCGGTCTGGGTTCCTGGAGCTTGCGAGTGGGGTCGAGAGGATCAGCGACGACGTGGTGTGTCGCACCACATCCTGGTGCGAGGCGTCGGATCTCTTGAGGGGCCCTTCCTACTAGCTGACGGAACCGAGGGAGCTGGAGCTTCTGTTTGGGCGAGTACGTCGACGGTGGTGGTGGTGCACGCATCTGGCTCCCTTCAGGTCGCCTTTGGAGCAGCTGATCGCCCTCGAGATCGCGAAGCTCTTCCACAAGGAGGGGCTGATCTCCACGGCGGTGATGACGGCAAAGGCGGAAGTCGAGGCGCTGGGGGAGGATCTCACCAGGCTCGTGGAGTTCTTCACCTTTCGGACGGCCACGGAGACGGGGTCCCTGACGATGATTACGAACGACGGGCGCTTCGGGGCCCTGCAGTGCGAGCAGGATCGCAAGGCAGAGCATGTGGAGGCGACGGAGTTCAGGTACGGCTCGAAGTGGAGGAGTACCTACTGCGAGCGGGTGCTGAATATCGAGCCGCGCGGGGACATGGTCGTCGCGGGGGCCCAGGCCAGGCTGGAGGGTGGCATCCTCAGGGTGGTCAAGAGGCGTGGACAGGCTCTACCTGCCTCGTGGGTCTGGACGAGGGTGGATCGCTGGTCTTTGCTTTTCAAAGGATTGTGGCAGCGAGAGGAGCACAACAACATCCTGGAGTTACGTACGATTGTGTCCCTCTTGCGTCACATGTCGCGCACATGGAATATGTGGGGCAAGCGCGTGCTGGAGCTCTCGGACTCCCTGGTTGCGATGGGCGTGCTTGCCAAGGGGCGCTCGTCGGCGACGGGCCTGCTGCACTTGGCTCGCCAGGCTTCTGCGGTGGTCCTCGTTTTCGGTATCAGGCTGTACGTGAGGTGGGTGGCGTCGGATGACAATGTGGCAGATGGCCCGAGCAGAGCGTTGGATATCGGCGCGGCCGAGGCCGCGAAGGAGGAGCGCAAGTGGAGGCACACGCCGAAGGCCGTCCGCTCCATGCTGGCAAGACCTTATCCGACTGCGAGTACGACGGGACCTACCAAGTCGACATCGTGAGGGATCACGGCGCCGACGGATTAGTGGAGTACGAGGCCACCGGCTACGAGGAGCTCTACTTGACCCTGGAGAGGCTGGCGGTGAATCTGGGCGTGCGATCCAGGCCGTCCTGGAGTTGGCTGCTGGCCATCTTGGGGATGCATACGCGGAGCAGGTGCAGTTAGTTGTCACGAGTCCGCCGCCGCTGCAGACTATAGGAGCTCGAGCATGGGATAACGCGGCCTGTATGCCTCTGGCTTATAACAACAGATTGGCAATTCACGCGGTCGATGACAAGACGAATGTCGCATACGAGAAGGCAGTTCGGGAGTTTCTGATCGATGCTAAGAGGCTGAACCTACCGTTTCATTCGGTCTATCTTCGGGATAAAACCTTGGCCTCTTTTCTGTCGGACATGTGCTATGTGCGTGGCCTCGGCTATAGTCGGGGAAGCATGCTTTTCAACGGGTTCATGCACATCTTCGAGGACCACAGGAACTTCCTCCCCCTGTCGGCTCGAGCTCTGAAAGCGTGGGAACGCCAGCAGCAGGGCCAGGAGGGCGAGCCCATTCCGTTGCAGGCGCTTGCTCTCATCATCCTGGACCTGTGCCACGCCGGGCGTGTCCACGAGGCGTGCGCGGTCGTGGTGCAGCTCGACGGTTGGCTACGTGAGCAGGACTGGGCTCAACTACGGAAGGGCAGCATCTCGACAGATGCACAAGGGCGTATGGCATTATTGCTAGGAGATCGAGCGAGAGGGGAGAAGGTCAAGACGGGCTCGGGGCAGGGAGTGGAAGTACTGATGGAGCTGACGAAGTGCGTGCTGCTCACCCTCGCCGAGGATCTTGCAGATGATGAGCTCGTCTTCCCCATCACCCCCGACAAGTATCGCAGGAGTTGGCAGTCTTCCCTCCAGAGGTTGGGCCTTGAGGCCCTTGGCCCACCTCATGGCATTCGTCACGCAGGTGCTGCGCAGTATGTGGCGAATGGGGGAGATTTGGAGATTGCGAGGAGGAGGGGGCGCTGGACTACTTCGAGCGCCTTGCAGCGCTACACGAAGACCCACGTGCTGATACAGCGGCGCTCCCTCCTCCAAAAGGATCAGATCGTGAAGGGCGAACGGTTCTGGCAGGCCCCAGGCGTGGCGATGGCCAATGCGCTGGGGAAGTCCAGGGCGGCACGTAGGCCGCTCACCGTTCGCTTGATTGCGGCTCTTTCGCAGCTTTCGAATGACAGCCTCGACCTCGGCTGTGCTTCGCTGCAGGCGCGGCCCGAGGTGGGGCGCCCGAGAACAGGGGGCAAGGCCCTGTTTCGGCGCCGTGGCGCCACCTAGCCGTACCTCCTCCCTCTCTTCACTTGTCTGTAAGTGTTTGGATTTCGAAGTGCGTTTCTTTGAGCTTGCAATTAATCTGGGGATCTGTGCCAAAGCTGGGGGGGGTAATTTTTGGGTATAATACTGGTATTCTTCTCTTCCCGCCCTCCCACCCTATGCCTGCGGTGCTGATTTCAAAATCCTGAATGCAGGGCCTTCGGCCAGAAAGGGCTTTTTGGCCTGTGCGGGGTTCGCACTCTCATTTTGTTGTGCGTGATCGGCCCCTGAGGGCCCATGAAGGTCAGGTACCTGTGGGCCCTCCGAGTGGAGGGCTGGTTGCAGCATGATGTCGGCGAGTGCTCTGAACTTTACTTGGGGCGTAGACCCCTCACTTTCGCTCGTGCTTGTAATGTGGTCGCTCTCATCTGCTGTTGCTGTGTCGGATATTCAAGCTCTGTGTGTCCTGGACTTGTTATTCGCCAGGCCTCTCGGCCGCTGCCGTCTGCCCCCAAGCTCTGGCACTTAGGGTCCCCAGCACAGCTTATTTAAATACATGTTTTACTAAACGCACTTTTACATTGCTAGTGCTCTCCCTCTTGTGCCGTCCCTCTCCCTCTTGTCCTCGTCCTCGTCCTTGTCCTCCTCGGCTTCGCCGCCGCTCAAGTTTCGGCCCCGACCCCCCCTCCCTGTGTGGAGGGGTTCGCACTCTCAATTTGTTGTGCGTGATCGGCCCCTGAGGGCCCATGAAGGTCAGGTACCTGTGGGCCCTCCGTGTGGAGGGCTGGTTGCAGCATGATGTCGGCGAGTGCTCTGAACTTTACTTGGGGCGTAGACCCCTCACTTTCGCTCGTGCTTGTAATGTGGTCGCTCTCATCTGCTGTTGCTGTGTCGGATATTCAAGCTCTGTGTGTCCTGGACTTTTTATTCGCCAGGCCTCTCGGCCGCTGCCGTCTGCCCCCAAGCTCTGGCACTTAGGGTCCCCAGCACAGCTTATTTAAAGCAGTGTCTATGTATACGGAGCTCAACACGCAGACTGAAAACGTAGGTCTGACGCGAGACGCTCGCCAGAGCGTGGACAAAAACGCTGAGCCAAGACGCAGCGTATATTGACACGGACGTTTTGAGCACGGTACGCGTTGCGTATCATTCAGGGCGCATCGAGGCAGCTAAGCAGCGTAGTAGAAATGGAACAAGAAAAAGCGCCATAAACATAAACTGTTGGCGCTTCGCGCGGATTTCTTGGATCCGCGCCGGACCCCCCTCCCTGGCGCGCGGAGCGCGTCAGGGGCGGCGCCGAAGGCGCCGCCAGGGGGGACCAAGCGCGGATCCGAGAAATCCGCGCGGACCTCCGAGTCTCCATGTTCATGTCCTTGCGCGTTCTCCTAAGACATCTGCTCGGGCGATGCCGGTCCTCGGGCCTCGCGGGAGGCCTGCCGGGGGCCTCCCGAGGCCCCGTGGGCGAGGGCAAACACATCTTGCCGAGAGAGCGGACCACGAGGCGCACGGCGCCCGCCCTCTTCAGCTCCGCCGCGATCTGGACGCTGTCGCCGGAGATGCCGTTCACGGACTCGATGCGCATGTCCTGAAAGGAGGAAGAAGCCCCAGACCCCCTTGGGGCAACGAAACAATCACAACGGGAAGTTTTTTTTGTTGTTGCTATTTTCGGCCTACCGCCAAAAAACGACCCAGGATGAAAAACCGGTCCGGGGGGATGGGTCGAGACCTCCAGGGGCCGACGTAATGAACAAATCATGACGTCGGGGGTCTGGGGAAGCGGCATGAGCATACACCTGCGGGGCTCCGCTTGGGATTTCTTGGGTCGGCGCTGCACCCCTCTCCATGGCGTGTGGAGCGCAACATGGGGGCGGCGCCGGAGGCGCCGCCAATGGAGCCCAGCGCCGATCCAAGGATTCTAGCGCGGACTTCCGAGAGAAATCCAGCTTATGCGCATGTCTTCTTCTTTCCAAAGCTGACAGAACATCCAGTAGCAAAACGCCCTTTCGTGAAAGCTGCCAGGTGCACTCCACGTGTACACGGCATCGTATTCTGAATCGACCCTAGCGGGGTAGCTGAAGGAAGCCCAAAAACAACCGAGTGCATGCTGCGAAACGCGCGTCGATTAGCGAAAACGACTTGGGACTGCACCTCAACACTCGGATGCCAGTGTCGAATGAACCAGTGCAAATTTGCTCAGTCGACCGGTCTGGGTGGGCGTTCTCTCAGTGCCCGATTCTTCGATGTCCGGCAGCACGACGTAGTGCCACCGGTCCAGGGTCAGCTGGCCGGTGTTGTGCTCCGGCAGCGCGCCCTCCGCCAGGACCTCGGTGATGCGCACGCCCTCGGCGGTGGGGATGGAGGGCTTCTCGAAACGAAAGCCCAACTTCTTGCCACCGTCCTTGCTCAGGGTGACCTCGAAGAGGTCGGGGTACCTTCGTTGGCGAAACACGTGCAGTCGGACCTAGGCCAGACGAACATCCCTTAAGACCATGAGACCCTCCGTCGGCCAAAACAAACGGAACGTCCAAGGGTACCCTCCCCAGGATGCACAACAACATCCAACACACACGAAAAACATCAGGGTAACCTCCCCGAACCGACCTTGATCTTATACCTCGGTCCGGCTGTATCCGCAACCTCGCGGGCCGGGCCCCTGGGACGTGACCCCGCGGACACGGGGCGTCTATTTGCGGGGAGCCCGCGCATCCGCGGGATCGCGCCCCGAAACTCCAGACCGCGAGGGCGCGGATGCGGATGTGTGCGCCGCTCGCGATACCTCACGATGTTCATGAGCACCCGCCGTGAGCGGATCTCTCGCTGCATGCCCTCCACCGTCGCCTCGCCGTTGACGCGGACGATGCGGTCCAGCGGCCGCACCTCCGCGCCCCTGTGCCTGAGGTTCCAGAGCCTCAGGAGGCCGTGGTCGTGCACCTCTCGGCGACTCCGACGGGTGCGGTTTGCACGTGGTGTGGCTTGCAGCTCGCGCCCGGGGGGGCCGGGCGGGGACCTCGGCAGAGATCCCCAACGCGCACGGACGAGGGTGCATCGAGCCTCTGGCGCAACGTGGTGTCTCCCGGAAGCCCCAATGGCGCCGATCGCAAGCCACACCCGGGCGTAAGCACACCCGTTATGGTCGCCGAGCCTTGCGCACGATGAGGGACTCTGGCGCAGACGCTGGGGGAGGCTTCGAGGGCGACCTGGCATGCTGCGGCGAACGCTGCGACAGCGACATCATCCGTGACTCGAAGTCTAGTCTGCCGTTGGCCTGCACGAAGCCGAACTTATCCTCGACGGCCTCCTTCTTCAAGGTCACCTCCCAGTGCAAGCAACCGTCCTGCTCCGTCACGTGCGGCACGTCTTGCTGGTCGTTGCCGCCAGGGTTCGAGACCTCCTGTAAGGAGGGGGGCGGGCTCCCGAGGAACCGGGTCCTGGACCAAACGGCGCTCTGCATCCTGGGTCGTTCTTGGACGGGCTCAGACAAACAGTGCGAGAAACATCCAGGACCCCCCCTCTCTCCTCCAGGACCCCCCCTGCACTCACGCCTCGCCTCCAGAGTCGACCTCAGGAGCTCTTCTGGGGTGCGTTCTGGCTAAAAACTCCCGAAGGGAACCCAAAAGCGGCCACGAGGCGACTCCTAGATGCACAGTTATCCTGGCGATTGGCCCAATGATCTGCAGCCGCGAGTACTGTAAGGCGGGTTGGGACGAAGAAAGGGACGAGCGTACTACGAGTAGCCTATTCCATCGTCGTCCTTCTCACCTTCTTGTTGTTCTTCTTCTTCTTCTTCCTCCTCCCCATCCTCCTCCTTCTCCTCCTCCTCCTCCTCGATCTCCTCATCTCCTTCCTGCTCGTCCCCGCCCTCCTCCTCATCATGGGGTCACGCGACGTGTCGAGCTCCTTATGTGGCCACCATCCGTGCATGGGGCTGGCCGAAAAGGGGCAGGGCCGCCATGCGATAGTGACCACTGAGGCCTTCGGTGGAGCTGCCTATCGGGCCACGACGCGTGTGAGGGGTGTGCCGAAGTGGAGCGGGGCCGCCATGAGACCGTTGCCATCGGGGCTTTCGGTGGAGCTCCGCGTGGGGCCACGAAACGTGAGACAGGTGCGCCGAAGTGGGGCGGGGCCGTCTAGCGATCGTTGCCACTGGAATCCTCGCTGGAACTCCCCAGGGGGCCACGAGCCTCCATGCGACCGTTGCCACTGAGGTCTTCGGTGGGGCTCCCTGTGGGGTCACGAAGCGTGTGCAAGTGTGTGTGTGTGTGTGTGTGCCGAAGTGGGGCGGGGCGCCCATGCGACCGCTGCGACTCGGGCCTTCGGCGGAGTTACGAGGCCCCGGAGCGTGGTATGCCAAGGGAGGGGAGGGCGGAGGAGGAGCGGGAGGGATGGGGTGAGACGCGCGGGGCGGCGGACCCAAAACGAGAACAACAAGCGTGACAGCATGCGCTGGGAGTGGAGGGGCTACGGCTCCACAGCGAGGACCCAACTCGACACAGGACGGCTGGGAAACCCTGCCCAAACATCCCGAACCTGGAGGGAAAGAACACGGGGACCATGACCAAGACCTCACGCGGACACGTCGTCCCCGATCTTGACCGCCGCCGATCTCTTGGTCAGCGACACTTCGTGGACCCTCCTCGCGAAGCGGCGACGGCCGATGGGGACCATTACCAGGATCGGCATCGCCAAGATCCCGCGGCGGGCAGGACGAGGGAAGGAGGGGGATAGAGGAGAAGGAGGTGGAGGAGGAGGAGGAGGAGGAGGAGGAGGATGATGTGGAGGAGGAGGGGGGACCAGGCGCAGCCCTGTCCATCTTGGCCATTACGGTGGGGGCATTGGACAAGAAGCCTTCGATAAGGAATCCAGGGTCTGGCTGCCTCTGGAAGTCCAATCGACTGGATCGGCCATGGGTATCACCACCGCCCTCCACAGATAAGGAATCCTCCAGGGTCTGCAGCCTCCTGGCGCGCGGCCCTTCTCCCTGGCGCGCGGAGCGCGCCAGGGCGGCGCCGGAGGCGGCGCCCGGGGGCCCCAACGCGGATCCAAGAAACCCGCGCGGAGCGCCAAACATTGATATCTATGGCGTTTTTCGTTTCTCGAGGCATGGTCCCCGTGCTTCTTCCCGCGACGAACCCGCGCGCCAAGCAATCTGACCTCGATTTCTCCCTGGCGAGCCTCGCTGCCGACGGCGGCGAGCCCTGCGGCCCTCGGGCCGGCGCCGCTGGCGGCCTTCCGGGGGCCGCGGCAGGAGGCGGGTCGCCCAGGGAGGGTGCATTCCACGTCTCCGTCCTGGGGCGTCGTCTGGCAGCAGGCGGTTGGAGCCACCGGATGCATGCAAAGCTCCCCCCCTTTCGGGGGGGGGGCGCAGGGATAGGATGGCAAAGTGTAGGGTAGAGAATCAGCGCACGCAGCTGGTTGTCCTGGCGCCTCCTGGCGCTGGGAGGGGCCCGTGTATCGAGGAATGGGCCCGGCGGCGGGGCCGAAGCCAGCTGCATGCAGCAGATTTCGTACCCCCCCCCTTTCCCTATCCCCCCCTTCCGTCCGGCCCGACCCCTGGGCTCCGAGACCTCCAGTCTCTTGAACGGAGGAGGAGAAGGAGGCGGAGCAGGAGGAGGCGGAGGAGGAGGCGGATGAGGATGAGGATGAGGATGAGGATGAGGATGAGGGATGAATGATGATGAGGATGCGGAGGAGAGGAGGAAGGAGGGGAGGAGGAGGAGGAGGAGGATGAGGAGGAGGGGGAGGAGGAAGAACTCAATACGGGCGTTTGTCCTCATTTACGGCGTCTGGAGGCAGCTTTTCAGCCCAGCCCTGAAAATCTGTGCGCGGGGTGCAGCTGGGGGGAAGACCCCGGGCACCCTGAAGGCATCCGCTTCTTGAGCACGAGGGGGGAGGCACTCCGGGCCCTGTGGCGGGTGTTCTGGCGAGAGGAGGAGGAGGAGGAGGAGGAGGAGGAGGAGGAGGAGGAGGAGGAGGAGGAGGTGGTGGTGGAGGAGGAGTTTTAAACCCGCGTGCTCCCGCCCGTGAGTGGGCGCCCCTGGTCTCGGCACCCCGCGCAGGCAGAACGGCCCGAGGCGGGGTGGGCCAGCGGCCTCATCTCACGGCGTCGTACTGCCGCCACTCGATGACTCATGGAGTCGCCCCGTGAGCGGCGGCAGTCTGAAGAATGCTGCTGCCGCCCTCTCAGAGCTTGAGGAGCAGCCTGATGGACGGCCGCAGCCGCTCCTCCGCTCTGCGTTCTTCCAGGGACCGCCCTGGCCGCTGGCCCCTGGACTCGCGGGCCTTCACGGCCGCCTTGCCTGGCGCAGGGCTGTGGCCTAACCCCTCGCCACGCTGGGGCGCATTGCGGCCTAGCCCCTCGCCGCGCAGGGGCCCTCCGTGGCCTAACCCCTCGCCGCGCTGGGGCCTGCTGCGGTCTGGCCCTTCACCGTGCTGGGGTGCTCCGTGGTGGCCTAACCCCTCGCCACGCAGGGGTCTGTTGCGGTCTAACCCCTCACCGCGCTGGGGTCCGTCGTGGCCTGACCCCTCGCAACGCTGGGGGTCGGCGCGGTCTAACCCCTCACCGCGCTGGGGAGAATCGTGGCCTAACCCCTCGCCGCGCTGGGGGCTGCTGCGGTCTGATCCCTCACCGCGCTGGGGTGCTCCGTGGCCTAACCCCTCGCCACGCAGGGGCCTGTTGCGGTCTAACCCCTCACCGCGCTGGGGTCCCATGTGGCCTAACCCCTCGCCACGCAGGGGCCTGCTGCGGTCTAACCCCTCACCACTATGGGGTCCGCCGTGGCCTAACCCCTCGCCACGCTGGGGATCGTTGCGGTCTAACCCCTCACCGCGCTGGGGTACTCCGTGGCCTAACCCCTCGCTACGCTGGGGCCTGCTGCGGTCTAACCCCTCACCGCGCGGGGGAACGCCGAGTCTCGCACTGTCCCCATCCTCGATGCTACTGCCCACTGGCTCGGGCGAGGTCCCCCGACTATGCCGCTCGCTGTGTTCGCGGTTCACGTGGTATCCGCGGGCCAAGCCCTCCCCCTCGCGTTCAGCCTGTCGGTTTCCCAGGGTATGGGTCCGCTCTGTTAGTTGCGAGGTCATGTCTACCACACTGTTGGTCAAAAAGTCCGCGTCATGCTCACTGGGCTCGTCAGGAACCTCCGCCTCGAGCTTCTGCTTGCCTTTGGCACTGCGGTCTACCCCCTCACCGCGCAGGGGATTTCCGTGGCCTAACCCCTCGCCGCGCAGGGGTTCCACGCGGTCTAACCCCTCACCGCGCTGGGGAAAGTCGCCGAAAAACTTCTCCAGGTCCCGCTGCAGGTCTGTGTCGTCGTAGTCTGCCGTCGTCTCGGGCTGCGCAGTTCTGTGGCCTAACCCCTCGCCACGCGGGGGTCCTCTGCGGTCTGCCTTTTCGCCGTGCTGGGGTGCTTCCTGGCCGAAACCCTCACCATGCTGGGGTCTGCTGCGGTCTAACCCCTCACCGCGCTGGGGTCCGTCGTGGCCAAACCCCTCGCCACGCTGGGGTCCTCTGCGGTCTGCCAGGTGGTACCCTATGCTGTGCTGTGCATCTGGGATCTGCTGGTGGTCGTCATCGCTGTCCTGCTTGTCTACGTGCTGCTGGAGGCAATCCTCGCTGTTCTCCTCTTCAAGGAAGTGGTCGAGGTCTGCCGTGTCCATGGTGCTCCGTCCTGCTGGTGGGGGACGGGCACCCCTCTGCATCCCGTCTGGCGCAGGGCTGTGGCCTAACCCCTCGCCACGCTGGGGTCCTCTGCGGCCTACCCCTCGCCGCGCAGGGGCCCATGGTGGCCTGCCCCCTCTCCGCACAGGGGCCTGCTGGAGGGTTTCTGCCGCTCCTCCGCCCTTCCCGCTTCCAGGGGTCGCTCTGGCTGCGGTACCCTGGGCCCCTTGGGCCTCTCAAGCTCGGGCGCTGGCGTTGCCGCGCGCAGCTCGGCGAGGCTGCTGGTGGCCCTGGCCTCTGGGTTCCTCCTCGGCTGTCTGGCTGGAGCCCTGCTTGGCACTCGCACTGCTGCTTGCGGTCGCGGGCTGCGGCTCCTCGCCGCTGGCTCAGTCACGCCCAGGAACTGCTCGGCCATTGCTCTGCGCCGCTCTGCCTCCTTCGGGTCCTGCTGCTGGATCTGCCTGCGCGCCTCTCCGCTGTTGAGCCATGCCAGGCGGCAGATCTCATCCGCCGCTCGGCGCTGGCTGCGCTGGCGGCTCGGCCCTGACACGTTGCTGAACAGCTTCTGGTAGACGCCAGTCTGCAGCGCCCTCAGCACATGGGGCACGCACGCGGCCTGCCACGATGGCCAGCCCTGCTCGCCCTCTTTCTGGATCCAGCTGCCTGCCAGCGACTGCATGAGCTGCTCAAGCCTGTTCCTCTCGAGCCACGCCACCTCCTGCTCGGGGTCCTGGTCAGCTTCTCCTTTGTTGTGTCGGAGCCTTGGGTGGAGCAGGCCGGCCTCATCGGTTTCGCTCACGAACTTCATCAGGTCGGGCCCCACTGGCTTGGTCAGCGTTACTGCCACCCGCACGGCCGTCTGCATCAGGCTGTTGACGTCGTGCCTCTGATCAGGTCCTGCCATGGTCTCCATCTCCTGGTTGCTCGGCTCGCCCTCCAGCTCTGGAGCTTCACTGTCTGGGGTCGAGTCATCATCGTCCAGGTTCTCTGGTGACCACTCTCGGCTGGCCTCCGCTGTTCTGGGAAGCGGCCTGCGCTCGCTGCTGGGGATGCTGTGCGCTAGGATGTTGTTCCTTCTGTTCTGGAAGGCGTCCATGTGCACTCTTGCTGCCTGCTGCCTTGTACCGTACGGGAGGGTAAGCATCCTGGTCATGAGCCTCCGCCGCGTGCGGTGCGTGTTGCGCCAGACTTCTTCGCAGAAGTCCTGGATCTGCTGAAGCTCCTGCGCGGTGACGGCCCTGGTCTGCTCTTGCGTGTCCGTTCTGCCACCCACATTGGTGATGGCCAGGAGGTACGGTACGCAGTGCTCCATCCAGTCGTCCATGTCGTCCCAGACCTCTTGGTCGACCATGTTCATCCACTGCTCCGCGTAGCCCTCCATGTGGTCCACGAGCCTCCAGCTGGCTTGGACGACAGAGTGCGGATTGCTGGGTGGCTGCTGTGGAACTGGCTGCGGGTCCCCTGCCTCTGAGCTGTCCCCGTCCAGGTCGATCGCCTCGTGGTTACTCAGGCCGAGCTTGAAAACACCAGGCATGGTGATCTCGTTGAGACCCTCATCAGCTGGGTCTGCTGCTGGCTTTGCTCCTCTTGGCAGCTTGCCCCTCTGCATGTCCGCCAAGACCCGCCGCCCTGCTGCTGTTGGGGGCTGACATGGCCTGGCCAGCTTCCCTGCCACTCCTGCCACGATCCTGCTCTTGTGGTCCCCAAGGTAGTTGGTGCCGCCACATCTCTCGCACCAGAGCCAGCCATGGGAGAACTGCGTCTTGTGGGAGACGTGCACCACCTGCGTGCCGATCTGCACCGCCTTGAAGCCAAACCTGACGTTGCGGAGGAGGAGGAGGAGGAAGAGGAGGAGGCGGAGGAGGAGGAGGACGAGGAGGAAGAGGAGGAGTGAGCCCTGACAAGAATGACCTCTGGTGCGCGTCTTGCCGATGCGGTGCGACAGCAGCGGTGTGCCTGCTTGGGTTTGGCCCTCCCACGCCCTCCGAAGGCCGCACGCCAAAGATCACTCGGGCGAAGATGTTCTCCCACGTGTGGCCGTTCGAGGCCTCCATGAGAAGAGCAAGCGACGGCGCAAACATAAACTGTCGGAGGTCCGCGCGTGTTTCTTGGATCGGCCCTGGAACCCCTCCCTGGCGCGCGCAGCGCGCCAAGGACGGCGCTGGAGGAACCGCCAGGAGGCCCCGCCCGCCGATCCAAGAATCCTCTCGGAACTCCACAAGTTGAATGCTTCTGTGCTCTTCTCCCTCGTTCCATTGGATACAATCGGGGCTGATAAGAGAGGACACGCAAGAGGACACAAGACCCTTCCGAGAGCCACATTGCCATAGGAATTTAGAAAGCATGGGTTGCAAACCACAAGACACTTTTTCTGTCGCGGAGCGGCAGAGGCGATCCGCTCGCGCGTCCAAACAACCTGGGCTACGGCATTGCGAATTGTCCCGCATGCAAGAGGAAGAGGGAAAGAAGACAGCCGGACGCAGAGACAGGAGGAGGAGGAGGAGGAGGAGGAGGAGGAGGAGGAGGAGGAGGAGGAGGAGGAGGAGGAGGAGGAGAAAGGCGCACTCACGCAGCGAGGCCGCGGGGGGCGCGCGGGGCGGCCAGGCCGAAGGGCAACTTCTGGCAGCGAACGCGGGCGCACCCAGGGGAGGAGCCGGCAGCCGCACTGCAGGGGGGGGGCCAGCAAGTGGAGGGCAGCAGAGGCAGCGGGACGCCAATGGGGGGCGGATCGGGGGCGCCGGGGGCGGGCTGGGGGCGGCTGCGAGGACCGGCTGCGCCGGGTGGGCGACGTATGAATCAACCCCTCATTGGCAGGGTCGACGAATTAATCAACCTAAACTGTAACTGGGGCGGCCCTGGGCGACCGCCGCTCCCTGGCAGGACCCCTCTGAACCTTGGCGCCGCGCGCGGCCATCGCCGCCATCTCGGCGGGGCTCCTGGCCCTGTGGAGGGGCAGCGCGATGGGGGGGGACCGGCTCCTCCTCCTCCTCCTCCTCCTCCTCCTCCTCCTCCTCCTCCTTCTCCTCCTCCTCCTGCTCCTCCTCTGCTCCCTGTTCCCTGCTCCCTGTTTCCTGCTCTCTGCTCCCCTCCTGCCTCCTACATTCCTCCACCTCCTTTTCCTCGATCCTCCCTGAGCCCATGCTCCCCCCCCAAACGCTGCCCCCGGGACCTCTGCCTCCCGCCAGCCGCCGCGGCGTCGGCCGCCGGCGGCTCGCGGGGCTCGGGCTGCTCGGCCTGCTGGGGCGCGCTGGGCTCGGGCTCGCAGGGCGGCCCAAAAATCGCACCAAGACCGGGGGGGCAAAGGGTAGGATAGCAAAAGGGTAACAGCAGGAAGCATTCAAGACCCCCCCTTTTCTGGTGAAACGATAACGCTTCCGGCACCCTGGAAGCATTACCTCGGCACCAGGAGGTCCTCCAGAGGACACTCGGGGCCGGGCCCTGCAAAGTTTTGCTAAGCACTGCTGAGCCCTGCTAAGCGTTAGTAGGTCAGCTCACGTAGGTGTTCCTGGCGCCTGCTGGCGCTGGGAGGCGCTCGTGTATCGAGGAATGGGCCCGGCGGCGGGGCGACAACCAGCTGCACGCAGTGCCTCCATTATACCCTTTCGTGCGGCCCGACCCAGGCAGTCCCCACATGAGCCCACGAGGCGCCCAGCGGGGGTCGTGCGCAGTCCAGGCCGAGCTCTCACACGCCATTGCCCAGTAACGCAAGAGTGACCCTGGGCAAGAGTGACCTTCGGTGCGCGACTCACCAGGGAACGCGGGGTGGCCAAACCCGGGCGCGCAAGCCGCCGCTGCCGCTTCGCGCTCGGTGACCGGGGGACCCCATTGGGCCCGCAACAAAGGTCACTCCTGCGAAGGGTCACTCTTACGTGTAGTCGACTCCCGTATCTAGTTTTCCCGGCGCTTCCCGCCGCCAGAGGCGCCCATGTGTAGAAGGTCCCAGGGACACACAAAGAAATAGACGCAAACCCCCGGATTCTACATCTTTTCCGACGTGTTATGTTTTTTCGTCTTCCTCCCCCTCTTTCCATATGTTCCCATCTGTTCCCCTATGTTCGCCGATATTTTCCTTGGAGTCGACGGTTGATGGTGTCTGTGGGTTTTTGTTTCCTCCTGAATGTTGCGCGTTCCAGGGATAGAGGCCTCCTAGGTTGGGTCAGGTTACATGGGGTCAGAGGATCGCGCCGCATCGCCGATATATCGGCGATGTCTCGGCGATGTATCGGCTATGCACCGGCGATGCATCGTCGACGTCGGCGATGCATCGTCGACGCCAGCGTGCAGCAAATCGGGCTCCGCATCGAGCCGCATCGGCGATGCATCGGCGATGCAGCGCGATCCTCCGGCCTCGCCCTCGGCGAAAAAAGCGGAGGAGGACCGTGGTACGTACGTACGCTTCAGCTCCGTGACCTAAGTACCCCAAGCGTACAGGAGAAGGAGGAGGAGGAGGAGGAGGAGAAGAGGAGGATGAGAAGAGGAGGATGAGAAGAGGAGGAGGGGGAGGAGGAGGAGAAGGATGAGGAGGATAAGGAGGAGGAGGAGGAGGAGGAGGAGGAGGAGGAGGAGGAAGAGAAGAAGGAGGAGGAGGTCGTCGTCGTCGTCGTCGGAGGAGGAGGAGGAGGAGGAGGAAGACGAGGAGGCGGAGGAGGAGGACATGCGGACGTACCACGGCGAGTGGCTTCCGCAGGCGGAAGCGCTCGGCGGAAGGCGGCCGCGCGTCGAGGAGCCAGCCCGCGAGGCGGGGCCGAAACTGGCCGCATGCAGCAGAAGGCGTGCCCCCTCCCAGTTTTAGGTCGGGCGCTTCTTCCTAGAATTCTTGGCTCTCTTCGTACTGAAGGACCACATCCCAGAAATATTTTCGAACACCAAAAGACATATCGAATCAGTGTCTACCCGGCTAGCTAAGTGTCGAACGAGTATCGCCCCCCAAGGCTCGACACGTGAACACCCTCCAATTTCGGCACTTTCTTCTTGGTATTCGAAATTATTTCTGGTGGTCTAAGCTAAAGTCGGTCGGAACATCATAATCCTACAGGCGGAGTTTGGAAGAAAAGCAACACACAAGCCAAACAACGAACATAGAGCACGAAGAATTGTCACCAGACTGTGTTTCACAATTCTTGACCATTCCTCCTGTAGAGGGACATGCCGACTTAATCCCAAATCCCTGTCCCGCCCCCCTCGTCCGACCTGGACCTCGCAGGGCAGGGTGAGCTCTGAGAAGCCTCTTTGTCCTCCCCCTGCGAACCATTCCTCCTCCACCTCCTCCTCGTCTCCTTCCACACCTCGTCCCTCTCTGCCTTCCCCTCCCCCTCCTCCTCCTCCTCCTCCTCCTGCTCCTGCTGCTCCTCCTCCTCCTCCTCCTCCTCCTCCTCCTCCTCCTCCTCCACCTCCTCCTCCTCCTCCTCGTCCCCTTGGGGGTCCGAAAACCTTGTTGTCACTGACCGTGCGGCCCCCGCAATCCAAGGAGACTTCACGGCACGGCCCGTCACCGCACGGCTTTGGGGACCTTGGAGGCCTCAATTGCCCGAGGCGTCCTCGGAGAACGACCCGAGCCCCAAGACCGCGCGGCCACCCAGAATCCACACCGACTCACCAGGAGGAGGAGGAGGAGGAGGAGGAGGAGGAGGAGGAGGAGGAGGAGGAGGAGGAGGAGGAGGAGGTGGGGGAGGAGGAGGAGGAGGGGGAGGATCGAGGATCGAGGACCGAGGAGGATCGAGGGTCGAGGATCGAGGGGAGTCGAGGAGAAGAGGGATGCTGGGCCCCCCGACGCCTGCCCTCTTAGGGGAGGCCGCCCACCTCGTCCCAACCCCTTCTCTCGGGGAGCCGCCCGAGGCCTCCGGCGCCAAATGCCTGTGCCGCACTGCCGCGTGGATCTCTCCCCCCCGCCCCCACCTCCTCCTTCTCCTCCTCCTCCCCTCCTCCTCCCCTCCTCCTCCCCCTCCTCCTCCTCCTCCTCCTCCTCCTCCTCCTCCTCCTCCTCCTCCCTCTTCTCCTCCTCCTCCTCCTGCCTCCTCCTCTCTCCTCCTCCTCCTCCTTCCCCTTTTGCTCCTCCTCCCTCCTCCTCCTCCTCCTCTCTCCTCCTCCTCCTCCTCATTCCTCCTCCTCCTCCTCCTCCTCCTTATTCCTCCTCCTCATTCCTCCTCCTCCTCCTCCTCCTCCCTCCTCCTCCTCCTCCTCCCTCTCCTCCTCCTCCTCCACCTCCTCCTCCTTCCTCCTCCTCCTCCTCCTCCTCCTCCTCCTCCTCCTCCTCCTCCTCCTCCCTCCTCCTCCTCTCCTCCTCCTCCTCCGCCTCTCTCTCCTCCTCCCTCCTCCCCCTCCCCCCCGTCCTCCTCCCTCCTCCTCTTCCTCCTCCTCCTCCCCTCCTCCTCCCTCCTCCTCCTCCTCCTCCTCCTCCTCCTCCCACTTCCTCCTCCTCCTCCTCCTCCTCGTCCTCCTCCTCCTCCTCCTCCTCCTCCTCCACCTCCTCCTCCTCCTCTCCTCCTCCTCCCCTCCCCCTCCTCCTCCTCCTCCTCCTCCTCCCCCTCCTCCTCCTCCTCCTCCCCCTCCCCCTCCTCCTCCTCCTCCCCCCTCTCTCGGGGAGCTGCCCGAGGCCTCCGACGCCACCTGCTTGTGACGCACTGTCGCGTGAATTTCCGCTTCGATAATGTACTTGGTCCCCGCCGCGGACTCCACCTGTGGAAAAACAAAAACGGCATGAACATAAACTTTTGGCACTCCGCGCGGGTTTCTTGGATCTGCGCTGGATGCGGCGCTGGAGGCGCCGCCGGGGGGCCCCAGTGAGGATCCAAGAAATCTGCGCGGAGCGCCAGAAGTTTATGTTTATGGCGTTTTTTCTTGCTCGAAATGTACTTGGCCCCCGCCGCGGGCTCCACCTTGATGGTGTTCTTCGGCATCTCGTAGCCATCGGCGACTGTGTCCTCGGGCTCGGTGGGCCTTGGAAATAGCAGGTCCGGTTTTCACCGGTGTAAAAACAAACCTGGCTATGGATGCTGATGTTGGGGAACAGATGCGCCGGAGTCAGAACCGGAACCAGAAAAAACGGAACCTGAGAACAAAGTCGTAGACGGACCAAGACGCAAAACAAAGTTTCCTGACGAAGAGCCCGATCATACGCAATTGTGAATAACGAGGTCGAACATATCCTGGTCGGTGGGTCCCGTTATGGGGCCGCGACACGTGTGAGGTGTGTGTGTGTGTGTGTGCCGAAACAGGCGCGGAACCATCATGCCAACGCAGCGGCTGGTGCTCTCAGTGGGGCTCCGTTTTGGGCAACGAGGCGCGTGAGAGGTGCGACGAAATCGGTGCGACGCCCACGTGGATCGTGCGACTGGGGCCCTCGGTGGAGCTCCCTAAGAGGCCGCAAAACGTGCGAGGGCTGTGCCGAATCGGATGCGGGGCCGCCACTGGGGCCCTCGGTGGATCCTTCTCATGTGGCCACGAAACGTGTGAGGGGTGTGCCGAATCGGGCGCGGGGCCGCCATGCGAACGCAGCCACCGGGGCCCTCGGTGTAGCTCCCTATGGGGCCGCGAAACGTGCGAGGGGTGTGCCGAATCGGATGAGGGGCCGCCGCTGGGGCCTTCGCTGGAGCTCCCGATGTGACCACGAAACGTGAGAGGGGTGTGCCGAATCTGGCGATGGGCCACCGTGCGAGCGCAACCACTGGGGCCCTCGGTGGAGCTCCCCATGGGGCCACGAAACGTGTGAGGGGTGTGCCGAATCGGGCGCGGGGCCGCCATGCGAACGCAGCCACGGGGCCCTCGGTGTAGCTCCCTATGGGGCCGCGAAACGTGCGAGGGGTGTGCCGAATCGGATGCGGGGCTGCCGCTGGGGCCTTCGTTGGAGCTCCCCATGCGGCCGCGGAACGTGTGAAGGGGTGTGCCGGATCAGGCGATGGGCCACCATGCGAACGCAACCACTGGAGCCCTCGGTGGAGCTCCCCATGGGGCCACGAAACGTGTGAGGGGTGTGCCAAATCGGGCGCGGGGCCGCCATGCGAACGCAGCCACCGGGGCCCTCGGTGTAGCTCCCTATGGGGCCACGAAACGTGTGAGGGGTGTGCCGAATCGGGCGCGGGGCCGCCATGCGAACGCAGCCACCGGGGCCCTCGGTGTAGCTCCCTATGGGGCCACGAGGCGTGCGAGGGGTGTGCCGAATCGGATGCGGGGCTGCCGCTGGGGCCTTCGTTGGAGCTCCCCATGCGGCCGCGAAACGTGAGAGGGGTGCGCTGCATCTGGCGCGGGGCCACCATGCGAAAGCAGCTCCTGGGGCCCTCGGTGTAGCTCCCTGTGGGGCCACGAAACGTGCGAGGGGTGTGCCAGATCGGATGCGGGGCCGCCGCTGGGGCCTCCGTTGGAGTTCCCGATGTGACCACGAAACGTGAGAGGGGTGTGCCGAATCTGGCGATGGGCCACTATGCGAACGCAGCCACTGGGGCCCTCGGTGGAGCTCCCCATGGGGCCACGAAACGTGTGAGGGGTGTGCCGAATCGGGCGCGTGGCCGCCATGCGAACGCAGCCACCGGGGCCCTCGGTGTAGCTCCCTATGGGGCCACGAGGCGTGCGAGGGGTGTGCCGAATCGGCGTGGGGCCGCCGCTGGGGCCTTCGTTGGAGCTCCCCATGTGGCCGCGAAACGTGAGGAATGCGCTGAATCTGGCGCGGGGCCACCATGCGAAAGCATCCACTGGGGCCCTCGGTGTAGCTCCCTATGGGGCCACGAAGCGTGCGAGGGGTGTGCCGAATCGGATGCGGGGCCGCCGCTGGGGCCGTTGTTGGAGCTCCCGATGTGACCACGAAACGTGAGAGGGTTGTGCCGAACCTGGCGATGGGCCACCATGCGAACGCAACCACTGGGGCCCTCGGTGGAGCTCCCCATGGGGCAACGAAACGTGTGAGGGTGTGCCGAATCTGGCGATGGGCCACCATGCGAACGCAGCCACCGGGGCCCTCGGTGTAGCTCCCTATGGGGCCACGAGGCGTGCGAGGGGTGTGCCGAATCGGATGCGGGGCCGCCGCTGGGGCCTTCGTCGGAGCTCCCCATGCGGCCGCGAAACGTGACGGGAGCGCTGAATCTGGCTCCGGGCCACCATGAAAAAGCAGCCACTGGGGCTCTCGGTGGAGCTCCCCATGGGGCCACGAAACGTGCGAGGGGTGTGCCGAATCGGATGCGGGGCCGCCGCTGGGGCCTTCGTCGGAGCTCCCCATGCGGCCGCGAAACGTGACGGGAGCGCTGAATCTGGCGCCGGGCCACCATGCGAACGCAACCACTGGGGCCCTCGGTGGAGCTCCCCATGGGGTCACGAAACGTGCGAGGGGTGTGCCGAATCGGATGCGGGGCCGCCACTGGGGCCTTCGTTGGAGCTCCCCATGTGGCCGCGAAACGTGTGAAGGGTGTGCCGAATCTAGCGCGGGCCGCCATGCGAACGCAGCCACAGGGGCCCTCGGTGTAGCTCCCTATGGGGCCACGAGGCGTGCGAGGGGTGTGCCGAATCGGATGCGGGGCCGCCGCTGGAGCCGGCGTTGGAGCACTCCATGTGGCCGCGAACGCAGCCACTGGGGCCTTCGCTGGTGCCCCGTATAGGACCACGAAATTTGGGGATGTGCCCGATCGGATGCAGGGCCGCCACGCGAACGCAGCCAGTGGGGCCGTCGGCGGTGCTTCCTATGGGGCAACGAAACGTGTGAGGAGTTCGCCGAATCTGGCGATGGGCCACCATGCGAACGCAACCACTCGGGCCCTCGGTGGAGCCCCCCATGGGGCCACGAAGCGTGTGAGTTGTGTTCCGAGTCTGGCGCGGGGCCACCATGCGAACGGGGCCCTCGGTGGAGCCCTCTTATGGGGCCACGAAGCGTGTGAGGGCTGCGCCGGATCGGGCGCGTGGCCGCCATGCGAACACAGCCACTGGGTGGCCTTCGGCAGTGCAGCCTGTGGGGCCACGAGGCGTGTGAAGGGGTGTGCCGAATCGGGTGAGGGGCCGCCATGCGAACGCAGCCTCTGGGGCCTTCGTTGGACTGGGGTGAAGGGTGTGTCACCATGGACATGCGGAGGGCAGAGGAAAGTATGGGGTATGGGAGCAGCAGGAGCAGGAAGAGGGAGGAGGGGGAGGAGGAAGGAGGAACGCAGGGCGCTGCGGATTGAACACGAGAACCCAACACCACACGTTGGCTGAAAACAGAAAAAGCGGGACCGGTAACCAAAAACTGCCCTGCCGCTTCCAAGGCTTACTGAGTCCTCGGGGTACACCCTCTTGACCTAGAAGAAACACTGCATAATCATGAACTCTCGGAGACCCGCGTGGATTTCTTGCATTGGCGCTGGCCCATCCCTCCCTGGCGCGCGCGCCAGGGGCGGCGCCAGAGGCGGCGCCAGGTGGGTCAGCGCCGATCCAGGAATTCCGCGCGGACCTCCAGAAGTGAATGCTTATGCCGCTGTTTCTTCTTCGGTGACCGTGCCCGGCAGCCACTTGCCCTTTGAGTTGCTCCACACCTCCACCTGGTCCCTCCTGTGGAAGCCGTGCACGGACGCGGGCGCCGCTTGGGGCGCGGGCGCCGCGGGGGCGTCGCCAGGTCCCGCCTGCTCCCGCGCGCTCCCCTGCGTTCGGCTGCACGCAAGAGTGACCCTGGGCAAGAGTGACCTCTGGTGCGCGACCCTTTGGGGGCCGCTGGGGGGCCAACACGCGAGCGCGCAGGGCGCCGCTGCCGCCTCGCGTTCGGCGATCGGGGGACCCCAGTGGGCCCGCACCAAAGGTCACTCTGGCGAAGGGTCACGCTTACTTGAGCGACGATGAAAAACCGGTCTTGCTCGAGATGACGAAGCGACCTTACGCGGTGGCTTGCGCGGGCCGCCAGCGCGGCACGCTACTTTGCAGCTTGTGCGCGCATGTCGGCGCAGACGACCTTGTTTTTTTTGCGTCGCGTGTAGTCGATGTTTGTCCTGCGCCAGCGCCTGGGTCGCCTGCGCATCGTCCCCTGGCTGCGGCGCGGCCGCCTGCGGCGGCGGCTCGGCAGCCTGGGGCGGCGGCGCGGCAGCCTCGGGCGGCGCGGCGACCAGCACCTGCACCTCCTGCACCTGGCTGGCCTCCGGCGGGGCCTGGGCGGCCTCCCCAGGGGCGTCAACCGGCTGCGGCTCCTCCCGGATCCAAATGTCGCCGTCGCTCCACTCGATGGTGGACCCGGCAAGCTTGGCGTAGTACGTGCTGTTACCGACCGCAACCATCAGCCGATCCTGATCGTCTTTCTCGAGGAGCCAAACCACGCCATCACTCCACAGGACCTGGTTGCCGGAGATGCGCACCGTCTGGTCGTCCAAGTTCCACACGCCATCGAGGGAGCCGCCGGCCTGGAGACGCGCCTGCGCAGAGTGGATCCGCTGCTGCTGCTCGCGCAAGTCCTCTGGGCTGTCCGTGCCCGGCACTGGAAGAATGCCCTCCTCCTCTGCGCCTGTCAGGGTGACCTGCGGCAAGACTGGCTGGCTGGCTTGCTGCTGCTGCTGCTCCGGGTGCTGATGCGCGGGAGGGGAGGCCTCCTCGCACTGCGGCAGCACTGGCTGGAGGACCTGCTGCTCCTGCTCTTGTTGCTGGTCTTCAGGGCCAGGCGGCACTGCTGAGCCCACGAAGCCTGGCTGGACCTGCGCCACGACTGGCTGGGCTGCCTCTTGAGCGATGCCAGATGCCGCTGCGGCACTGCAAGTCTGCCTGGCCGCACGGACCTCATCCGCCTCCCGTTCGAGCGCAGCCTCCAGCGCGCCCTGGCACTGCTGCCTGGCCGCGTGCTCCTGCCCATTGGCGAAGCCCGCCGCCGCTGCGGCGCTACACTCCTGCCTGGCCGCGCTGACCAGGTCTGCCTCTCTCACGAGCGCAGACTCCAGCGCTCCCTGGCACTGCTGCCTGCCCGCTTGCAACTCACTCTGGGCGATGCCAGATGCCGCTGCGGCACTGCAATTCTGCCTGGCCGCACGGACCTCGTCTGCCTCCCGTTCGAGCGCAGCTTCCAGCGCGCCCTGGCACTGCTGCCTGGCTGCGTGCAGCTCCTCCCCCTGTTCCCGCTCCAAGGTGCTGGGCGCGGATGTTTCCTCTCCAATATCGCGCTCGGCCTTGGCCAGCGCCGATCCACCTGGAGCAGGGCTGACCGCCACTGCAGCACTGCATTCAAACTTGGCCGTGAGATATTGATCCGTCTCCCTCGCGAGCCCAGCCTCCAGTGCGCCCTGGCATTGCTTCCTGGCCTCGTGCAACTCCTCCTGAGCAAATCCTGATGCCGCTGCCGCGCTGCAATTCTGCCTGGCCGCACAGACCTCATCCGCCTCCCGTTCGAGCGCAGCCTCCAGCGCGGCCTGGCACTGTTGCCTGGCCGCGAGCAGTTCCTCCCCCTGTTCCCGCTCCACAGTGCTTGGCACGCTGGTCTGCTCTCCAGCGTCGCGCTGGAGCGGCGCCGATCCACCTGGAGCGGAACTGGCCGCCAATGCAGCGCTGCACTCCAACTTCGCCGCGTGAAACTGATCCGTTTCCTTCGCGAGCTGGGATTCCAACGCGTCCTGGCACTGCTGCCTGGCCGCGCACAGTTCCGTGTCCTGTTCCCGCTCCGAGCTGCTTGGCGCGGAGGTCTGCTCTATATCGTCGAGCCCAGCCTGGGCCGGCGCCGATGCAGCTGGAGCGGAACTGGCCACAAGAGCAGCACTGCACTCCAGCTTGGCCGTGTGAAACTGATCCGTCTCCTTCGCGAGCCCGGCCTCCAGCGCATCCTGGCACTGCTCCGTGGCGGCGCGCAACCCTTCCTCCTGGTCTGGCTCTGTGGTGCTCGGCGCAGTGGGCTCTCCAGCATCGCGCCCAGCCTGGGCCGGCGCCGATGCAGCTGGAGCAGGGCTGGCCGCCAGTGCAGCGCTGCACTCAAGCCTAGCCGTGTGGAGCTGCTCCGTCTCCCTCGCGAGCCCGGCTTGCAGCGCGTCCTGGCACTGCCCCGTGGCGGCGCGCAGCCCTTCCTCCTGGTCTGGCTCTGCAGTGGGCTCTCCAGCATCGCGCCCAGCCTGTGCCAGCGCCGATGCAGCTGGAGCAGGGCTGGCCGCCAGAGCAGCACTGCACTCCACCTTGGCCGTGAGGAACTGCTCCGTCTCCCTCGCGAGCCCGGCCTCCAGCGCGTCCTGGCACTGCCGCCCGGCCGCGCGCAGTTCCTCCTCCTGCTCCCACTCCGAGGTGTTGGGCGCGGCGGCAGGGCGTGCTTCCAGTGCAGCGCTGCACTCAAGTCTGGCGGTGTGAACCAGATCCGTCTCCTTCGCGAGCCCGGCCTCTAGCGCGTCCTGGCACTGCCGCTTGGCGGCGCGCAGCCCTTCCTCCTGCTCCCGCTCCATGGTGCTGGGCGCGGCGGCCTGCCCTCCAGCATCGCGCCCAGCCTGGGGCGGCGCCGATGCACCTGGAGCAGGGCTGGCCGCCAGAGCAGCACTGCACTCCAGCTTGGCGGTGCGAACCTGATCCGCATCGTTCGCGAGCCCGGCCTCGAGCGCATCCTGGCACTGCTGCCTGGCTGCGTGTTGCTGCTGATGCTCCTTCAGTCTTGCCTCCAAGTTCGCCTCCTCCGGCTGCAGAAGGACCGGCTGGCGGACCTGCTGCTGCTGCTGCGCGAAGCCTGTCGCAGCTGCGGCGCTGCACTCCTGCTTGGCCGCGCAGACCTCATCCGCCTCTACCACGAGCGCAGCCTCCAGCGCGCCCTGGCACTGCTGCCTGGCCGCGTGCAGTTCCGAGGTGCTTGGCGCGGCGGCCTGCTCTCCAGCATCGCGCTGGAGCGGTGCCGATGCATCTGCACCGGAACTGGCCACCAAAGCAGCGCTGCACTCCAGCTTCGCCGCGTGAAACTGATCCGCCTCCCTCGCGAGCCCGGCCTCCAGCGCGCCCTGGCACTGCAGCCTGGCCGAGCGCTGCTGCTGATCCTCCTCCAGCCCAGCCTCCCCGCTCGCATCGAAGGCGACCTCGACGATCCGCTCGGCCTCCACCTCCCCGTCCTCCACCCGCACGGCCTGCAATGCCGTGGAGTCTGCCGCCGTGGCCCTGGCCTCGCTGCCCGGCGGTGCCGCCTCTGCCTCCCGGACGAGCTGCGGCCTGGGCGGCTGCGGGGCACGACGGGCGCCCGGCTCGGGGCTCTTGCCGTGGGGGCCCGGGGACTTCTTGCCGCGGCGCTCCCGGGACCGGACGCTCTCCGCGCCCCGTTTCTTCAGGACGTTCACCGTCGTTCTGAGCTTGGCGTGCGCCGCGTAGTACAGCGGCGTGTGGCCGTGCTGGTCCTGGGCCTGCAGCAGGTTCTTCTTCGCGTCGATGAGGCAGCTCACCGCGTCGTCGAGGCCAGCGTAGGCGGCCAGGTGCAAGGGCGACTGCTTCTTGGAGTTCACGACATTCACGTCCGCGCGCCTGGTAATGAGGAGCTCGCAAATCTGCCGCGTGGGCGCGAAGAACAGTGGCGTCTGCTCGTGACGGTCACGGACGTCGATGTCGGCGCCTGCGTCTAGCAGCTTCGTGATGCAGTCCCCCTTGCCATCGAACACTGCCTGGTGAAGGACAGCGACCCCGCGCGAGTCCTTCTGGTTGGCATCCGCGCCGCTCTGCAGCAGCAGGCCCAGGAGCTCCACGTGGTGGGCCTGCACGGCGAACCTGATCGGCGACAGGGGCCCCTCCCACTTGTTGGGGTCCGCGCCCTGCGCCAGGGCCTGGCGCCAACTTCACACCTACACCGATCCAGGGCCCAGGAGCAGAGGGACAGAAGGCGGCACACACACAAACTTACAGGAGCTCCGCGTGGACTTCTTGGATAGGCGCTGGCCCCGCCTCCCTGGCCCGCAGAGCGCGCCATGGGCGGCGCCGGAGGCGCCGCCAGGGTGGGGAGGAACTGCGCGTGCACCTCCAGAAGTTAATGCATTGCTTTTGCCGCTGCTTCTTCTTCGTTGACTGTGCCTGGCAGCTACTTGCCTTTTGAGTTGCTCCACTTGCCCTTTGAGTTGCGCCTCCGGCGACGCCCATGGCGCGCTCTGCGCGCCATGGGAGGGGGGGGGCCCAACGCAGATCCGAGAAATCCGCGCGAAGCTCCGGAAGCCTGTGCTTGTGCCGTTGCTGCGCGGGCCGGGCCCCCAGGGGTCGCCGTGGTGCAAGCATCACATCGGAAGTCGAGGAGTCCGAACGGTCAATTATTGTCCCTGAGTGCCTGGCAGAAGTGGTGTTCTGTCCGTCGGATTCTGCTCTCCTCACCCTCGACCCGCCTGCGCCTCACCCGCGACCCACTCGGCAACCCACTCGGCAACCCACCCCGCGACCTTCACGCGACCCACCCGCGACCCACCTCGCGAACGCCCCCCCCCTCTCTCTGATCCGCAACGGCGGGGCGCTGTGTATCCATGCTGCTTTCTCGTTTCTCGACGGCCAGGATCGGTGTGTGGGTGTCTTAGCTGCCCCAGCACGCGACGCGCAACACGTGGCGTGCTGACACGGAGCCCAACACGTAGACCGAAAACGCAGGTCTGGCGCGATGTGTGCGAGGCGGGATTCATCCATATCCACCGCCTGGGAGCCGACGTCCTGGTGCCCCAGCGGGCAGTGGATATGGATACATGTTGCCCCCCCGGGGGCCCAACCTGTCCATATTCAGCGCCTCTGGAGGTTATCCCACAGGCGGTGGTTATGGACTAACCCCCAACACGGAATAGGCTCGCGCCAGAACGTGGACCCACACGTCGAGCCAGTACGCAACGTGTGAACACGGACGCCTCGAGCACGGCACGTGCTGCGCTCCCAGACCCGCGACGTCATGATTTTGTCATTACGTCGACCCCTGGAGTTCTCGACCCCTGGACCGGCTTTTCATCCAGAGTGCTTTTTTTGACGGCCTCGGGGGCTGGTAAGGGCCCCCAGGGGCCGAAAATAGCAAACAACTTCCCGCCATGATTTCTTTTCATTGCCCGAAGGGGTCTGCGCTTCGAGACGGGCGTGCCAGGGCAGCTGAGGCGTGTGCGTTGCGGGCGCCCTGCGGCCTGCGCCACGTCGTCCAGCGTGGCCTGGCCAGCCACCAGCCCGCGCGCGGGCGCGAAGAGGTCGGCCATGGCCCTGGCACTCCGTGGGCGGAGGGCCCCTCTTGCACGGTCAGCCCGCCAGCATCGCGGGCCGTGGCCCCCCCCGCGCCCAAACGGGAACGCGGGGCGCGCGGAGGCTGCGGCTGCTCGAGCAGAGGACGCCCGCGGATGCCCTGAGATCCTGGCACTTCAATTCTTCCACAACGCCGCTACCGCCGCCGCAACCGTCGTCGTCGTCGTCGTCGTCGTCGTCGTCGTCGTCGTCGTCGTCGTCGTCGACGAAGGCGCTGTACTTCGAGGACGCAAGCATAGGATCTCGAGTATGCAGTGACGCATTTCGTCCTGGTCAGATGCTTCGAGCACGTGACGCACGCCAGGGTGTGGCAGTCTGGGCTGCTCTGGGGCTTCAACCAGGTCATCCCGAAAATTATGTTGAGGATCTACGACATGGTGAAGCGCATCGTGCGTGCCGGGAGCTACACCGTGGGCAAGCGATGGGGCAGAAGCATCGTAGCGGGCAACCGCTTCGCGCCCTTCTGCATCAAAACGGATATCTTCTCAGAGCTGGACGTGGTGGTGACATCCTTCCCCTGGGCCGACGCGCGCCTCTTCTTCGACGACCTGGCGGTGGCGACAAAGGGGATCAGGGAGTTCGTCAAGCACTGGCACCCAATCCTCGTCCAGACGCTCATCTACATGTTTGAAGTGATCTTGGACATGGTGGCATCCAAGGACGAGCTCACCAAACGCAGATTGAAGGAAGAGAATCGCCTGGGCGTCACCACGGTCGCGGGGGGCCGCAGACGACGGGTGAACGCCTTCAGGAAGAGCGCGGCCAAGTTCGCAGCAGGGAGGGGTCGCATCGCCCGAGTGAGACGCGCGGGAGGGCCAGCCAACAAGATCGTGCGCCTGGCCATGATCCCGTCGCTCCTCTGCGGCGTGCAGGTCATGGGCATGGCGGACACCAAGCTGGGCGAGCTGCGACAATCGGTCGGGACGCTGTAGGGCAGCACCAGAGGCAGGTCTACGTTCCTGGCCCTGCTGGCGGACGGTGGACCCTGGCATCAGAGTCAACAAGCTTGGGCGCAGGCGTGGCAAGAGACGTGCAGCCAGCCTGAGCTCATCCACGAGCTGCAAGCGGCGTGGAAGAGCACGTTGCTGCGAGTGTGGCGTGCCACGCCCCCGTTTCAGCAAGTGAGAGGCCCTGCAGGGACCTTCGTGGCGACGGGAAGGAGGCTGGGATGAATGACGCAAACAACGCACTCCATCACCATAGGCCAACTAGTGCTGGACTTGGGGATCGTTCCGCTACGCACCCCGAAGTACTACATCCAGTGAGGCACCCAGCATGGCATCAAGGACACGCGGCTGGCCACGTGGGGCGCACGCTTCGGCATGCAGCCCCTGCTCGTGGAGCCACTGCGCGCCATCCTCGGGCGCCCCCTCCGTGGGCGCTGGACGCGAGCCTACCAGACGAGGGCCCGCACGCTCTGGTGCGGCGGCACCTGGCCGCAGCTGCGCCTGTTCCCGCAGGGCTCGGTGGAGGATGACATGTGCAAAGGATGCCACGGAGCACGAAGGACTGGTCGCCATCGGACCTTCGGGTGCCCTGCGCGCGAGGCTCGCCGCAGCGAGGTGGGTGTGCTCCACATCGCGCAACGGGGCGCCAACCCGTGACAGGGTTCGGAGCAGCTAGTGGGCAGGGGGTCTGGCAGGGATTGTGGGGCCTGCCCTCCAGGGGACACCCTCACGGTCCACGGCGACTTCGAGAACTCCGTCACGGGAGACGTGTACACCGACGGCAGCCTGCTGTACGGCAGCTGCGCGGCGCTGCGCAGAGGCGGCTGGGCCTTCGTGCAGCTGACGCCCGACATGCAGCTGCGCTTCGCCTGCTACGGGCCCCAGCCAGGGAAACAATGCGAGCAGACCATCTTCAGCTGGATGCTGTGGGGAGGGTGCTGGGAGGTGGCCTGCCCACCCGTGGCCATCTGGACCGACTGCCAAAGCATCCTCGACTGCTTCTACAGACGCCACGCCTGGGCTGTGAGGTCCTACACGTTGCAGGCAGACACGTGGAGCCGCTGCTGGGCCCCGATCGCCGAAAACGCTGGCATAGGCCCGCGTGCGACTCGTTCTCAGGCAGCCACAGGACATGCCACTCGAGCCCAGCGTATAAGAATGGGGCTCGCACAGCTTGCAGGTAGTACATACAGTACGCATGCTGATCAGTTCGCCAATCTACGAGCCAAGCAACACGAGCATGTTGAATGGCACCGTGAAGCGTACGCCCAGCGACATCAACTCGTCTCGAATGTGTTAAGAGTTTGCCGCTTACGTCGGAGTTCTCGGCCAAGGGCTTATCGACACCTCTAGAGGTTCGGAACCACGCAGAGCAGCTGCGCGCCAGTCGCCCGCGCCCCCACCTCCACCGCCTAGTGGAGGAGTGGGGGAGCCTGAGGGACCTCTGCAACCTGAGGGCCGCTCTGGCCGGGGACGGGGCTGCAATCGAAAAAAACAGCGCCATGGGACACCACGTCGTGGGGTTTCCAAGAGTAATATCCTGCCGTCCATGCGCGAGGTACGCCAGCGACACGCGGATATGGCTTTCGTCCAAGTGTCCCGGGGGCCAATCTCGGATGATCTCGGGGCGTTTAGACCGTTGGTGGGAAGGAAGGCGCCCGACCACGAATACAGAGTTTTGGTTTTGTGATTTTGAAACAACCCTTGTCGACCAGGTTCAACCTGGGGTGGTGCTGTCTCCTCTCGTCGGCCCTGCTGTCGTGATCGCAATAAAGTGGAGCAGGCCGGTCGAGTCCCACTCGAATCCCGTTCCCCTCGTCCTCCTCCTCCTCCTCCTCCTCCTCCTCCTCCTCTTCTTGCAGCTCACCTCCCCCGCCCCCGCATCCCTCATCCCTCCGCCCTGTTCACCCTCGCCCCCTTCCTCCGTGAAAGAGAAGGCAAGAGGAGGGCATACAGGCAGAGCCTTCGCCACTGACCCCCGCCCCGCCGCCTGCGACGACGGCGACGGCAACGACTCGAGGCTCGTAGGCGAACTCGCAGCCGTTCCGAGTGGCCCATTGCGGGGTCCCAAAGACTCAAGACGCGCCGACAACTCGGCATGGGACGCAACACGACATAGTAGCGTTGCGTGCTGATGTTGGAGGCGCACGTCCGACACGAACATACACAAATGTCACCGTATACCGTTGCCCGGGCGGCACGGCCACGAAACGCCCGCAACTGAGCTGATTCCCTGATGCGTGTTTCTACTTAGGGGTTCTTGCTTCTGTTCTAAAGAACTGGGCCTGTCTGTCGATTTGGCGGCCATGTTGCCGCCGTCGCCGCCACGTCGCCGCCTCGTCGCCGCTCGTCGTCTGGGCCTGTCACTCGGTCTCGCGCCTATGTTGCCGCCGTCGCCACCCCGTCGCTGCCGCCCGTCGTCTGGGGTTGTCTGCCAACCTGGCACCAATGTTGCCGCCGTCGCCGCTCCGTCGCCGCTTGGCATAAATTATTCCGCGTAGATTGCACCGTTCATATTGCACCGCATAAGTTACACCACCTGGATTGCACCACGTGGGTTGTTCCACATAAATTGCAATACAGAAGCTGCTCCTCGTACATTGCACAACGTAATATACACAACGAAGACCGCACACTGTACATGTTGTACAACATCGACAGCACTACACCGGCGGCGCCACAAATATTCCACCCCATGAATTCCACAACAGATACTGCGCCGCAGCAGAGATTGCTTTACATCTATTGCGGCACGTAGACTGCACCACATCGGTGGCACAACCCACAGCTCGTGCTTGATAGGAGTCCGGGGGTACGTGGTGAAAAAACCGGTTCCTCTTCTCGGGGGGATCGCGGGGGCTGGCGCCCGCCACATGGAAACATACGGCGCCGGCGCGGGTGATTGGCGCTGCCAACGAGAGGGCGACAGGCGCGACGCAAGCGGCGCCGCTTCAGCGGAAGGAGACAGCAGCACGGCCAACATGGCTATAGACAGCAAGCAAGGAGGAGGCAGGGGGAAGAGGCGCCTCAGCTGGCGGGCGCTGCCGACATGACTGCAAACAAGAACGGGGAAAGGAGGGGTGAGCGACACAGGCAGTCGGAAACAGTCTCCCCCTTCTCCTTCTTCCCCCTCCCCCCCTCAGCTACAATATGTCCCGCGACGATGGCGACGACGACAGATGACATCGACCACGGATGACATCGTCGACGAGAACGACAACGACAACGACAACGACAACGACGACGACTGTGGCACGTAAGAAAAATCATCCTGAGAGGGAACAAATCGCCTCGAATGTATACGATGCCTATAACAACCTCTACACCCCCTGCACGATCCCTTCGGCGGCGCCCGCAACGACCCCCTGGCGCGTGATTGATAAAATGCGTCGCGCGCCGCGGGATGTATTCATCAGCCCCGGGGGGGATCATGTATTACTCACAAACTGACAACGTATGTCACACAGCCATATATATTTAACACCACGTGGATTGCACAACATCGGGCGCAAGCGCAAACACCGCGCCGCCTACATTGCACAGGACATGTTGCAGAACGTAAATTGCACCATAAAGTTTTGCTCCACATAAGACTGCGAAACATAGCGTGCTTGAAGAACACACATACTCACACACTAACACAAACACATTCGCGCACACATTCCCACGCACACTTTCTCACACACCACACACACCACGAGCGCACACCACACAAACACACCACACACACCACACACACCACTCACACACCACACATACCAAACAAACCACAAACAAAAACACTTTTTTGATCCGCGGGTCGAGAGCGAGCCTCGTCCGGTCGAAGCTAAGCCGGCCGCGCACAGCTTTAATTGACAGAGGGAGGAAGGTAGAAGGAGGGGCCTCACGTCAAGGCCAAGAGAGGGCAAAGCACCGGAATCAGGCGGTGCCGAAGGCGAAGTACATGCAAAGGAACGCCTTGTACAGGAACCCGGAGGCGAAGTACCGGAAGAGCAAAATGCTGTGGAGGT